AGCCCCACCGCTGAAAGCGATGTGGCCGGACGCTGGGCGGTACTGTCAATGTCGGCTTGGGCCGTTAGAGGTCCCCTCATATTCGCGCTACCAGAGACCAATGCTTTGGTTGTTTTAATCGGTCTCTTAGTAAACCATGAGCATAACTGATTCTGACATAGTCAGGGCATGCGCCAATGACGGGTTTCGTACTAAAACGAAGTTAAATTCAAGAAAAATCCCCGATAGCTCAAACGCCAACCAAAATCCATCGACCCAGACACCCAGTTAGCAATTAAAGTGTTTGAACAAATGAAAATGAAATAAGTGTTGAAAGTAATATTGCATTGAGTACAAATAAAAATCTCCGCGACATCATCAAAGGCCGAAAAAGCGCCAATTCGTGTCAGAGGCGTAGAGTAACTTGAGAGAAGTACAAACTGCTGGTTTACGCTATCGTTGAAATAAAGCAGCGTAAACAGAACATGCTAGAAATTCCTTTGAATATTACCCAAGTTGAATACCTTCTAGGCAGTAGTAAAATATTTGGTGAAATAAGTGTCAATTGTTTTAATGTCTAAAATGATGTTGATAGAGTTTGGTGCAGATCTTTCTCTCTCTTGCTTAATTTCCCTGGAAATTGATTTGCGAACTTGGAGTACAGCCTTCATAGTGAATCTTTTTTTAGGTCAATTCCAGAAATTGATATGAACATTGGAGCTTAGCTACATCAGCTACTACCGAGTGACTGCCCACTATTCACATGCTGCCAACAGGCAGTCAGTAGTACACTAGCACTTATTTGTCATGATGCGGCACATGTACTGGGTAAAAGGTCGGACACGTATTTCGCCGTCCTTGTGCCATTTTTCGCTTTTGCATTGTCCGAGGCGCGAAGAGGATTTCGTGTAATCTTGCGGATATGGACGTCATACAAACAAGAGGTCTCATAACACCACATGCCGGTAGGTGAATAAAAACAGAATATAATCGACAGATTACTCACTTTCATACCACCTTCAGTGTATGAAAAGATTTTCTAAGTGCAGCAGAATTCTTCATACTCTAGTAAATATGGACGTTTCCGGTGTTTACAGTCAGTTTTCATTTTTAT